CATACTTTAATATCCCTCAGCGGGAAATAAATATAAAATGAACTGAAGCACAGGAATATTTAGAGTTAATGTTTCAGGTGTGCGAAGCTAAAATTCAGCATTATGTTAATTGGCTTTGTAAGTTATTTAGATTCAGGTGTTAATTTTAAATCAATTGCGAAGCATCATACCTTTTAAAGTTCTTATTTTTCTTATCTGAGAGCATGCTCAAAGAGCTAAATAACTTTCTTTTAAGAGACTTTTGAGATGAAACTTAAAACTGGGAGTAAAGCAAAAACAGACTGTGGTCTTCACGGCGGCGCGGAGCAGCAGCAGCCTCTGCAAAGGGCTTCACTTTGCTGTCAGAGGTGAACGTCAAGAAACCAAGAGGATGGGAAGAGGAGAGATCACTGGATGTTTGGTGGGATAAATTTGGCAGGATGAGAATGAATATTTGATTTCCGTGCTCCTCTCGAGAACTGAGATAAATATTCAAAAGAGGCGAAGGTGGGGGCGGAGGAAAAACTCGCAGAGCTCCCCCTTCAGCAGATGAGATGCTGAGCATGAGGATGTAAATCAAATCGAGCGTGAAGCCGAGAGAATCCGAACTCACAGAAGGAGACAGGCGGACGCAAACTGCGGCTCAAAAACCCGACGTATACGGGTATTTTTAGACCAGAGCAAGAAGCGTCTCCAGATTAGAGATTTCCGCTGCGTTTCCGCTCAAATAAACACGACTGTCCAAATATGTGGTTACAATAACTTGGGTATGATGCTAAAATAAATGCCTCCACACACACAGACACACACAAACATATCCTTACCCAAATACAAACACTTTGTCTAAATCAAGCATGAAGCTCAACAACTTGGCCGCATATTTAAGGATTTACAGTTAAAAACCTCGAAGATCTTGATATCCTCGATTTATTATTATCCACAAAATACTTAAAAGCAAATGTTCATTAATATGCATTATGTAACAAATATATTTCAGAATATATTTTTGGTTACATAACATTTTAAAAGCCCTTTTTAGTAATAAAAAAAAGTCTTTGTAGCTACGCCAGACTTAAAGAGAACCATATATGGATGAAAAAAAATACTATTTACATCACAGTGTCTGACATGCTTTGGTTGTATGTAGCAGATGGATCCTGTCTTTTTAAGGAGAATTATGTCAAATTAATAAGTGGCCACTTAAAGGCCTCTGTTGCCCCCTGGGTGAGGGAATCTGGGGAACAACCACAAAGCTGATGGATTTCATTCCACCAAAAGTAAAAACTAACTGAAGCAGAATAAGAATTCAAACAACAGAAGTGATGAAACCATTAATTACCATAAGGTTTTACACTGAGTTTTTAAAAAACATATATATCTCAGTTATGCATTTTATATACATGTCTATAACTCAGTTTGAAGATTTACATAGATTGTATTAAGTCAATAAAAGTCCTCTGTATGTTTCCATGATAATTAGCCTCTGCTACCACTTTTCTTTTTCTGTGTCTGAGCTAAGTGACAAAGGTAGCATATTATATCAGGATTTTAACTCAAGTGTTCAGAAAGGGAAAAAGAACGTAGTGGGAAGACCAGCAGCAAAGGTTGGGGATGTGAAGCTGTACTGAATACGCTGGCATCTGTAGCTGTGTTTCTGTTATAAATATGTGCGAAATTGGCCAACAAAACATTTAAAAAAAAAAAGTGTTTCCAATGCAGTTTTGCGAAATGCACTAATTTCTGATACGGCTGGAGAAAAAAAAAAAAAAATCTCATCCTACTGCAAAAAACCTTTTTCCCCCCTTTTTTAATGTTTCAATTAGTTAAATTTATTTTTGTGATTCTAATTTGAGTAATATTATGGTCAACAGAAATGCAGCTAATGACAAACACCATAAGGTCCCAATATTGCAGCACCAGCTCTACAGCTATATCAAGCAGCCCTTCTTTGAATAACTTTTTAGTCGCAACGTAGGTATTGTTGTGTTGTGTACTTCTGTAGTTTGAGTATTGAGATGGAGGATGTTGTCTGAGTAAACGTTCCTGTAGTACAGTCAGTAGGGGGAACTTTCTAAAACCACACCAGAACAGATTAGAGTAACAATGCTGGTCAGAACTGGAGCAGAGTTGATGTCCGCCTGAATGCGGATAGAAGTTTTATGTTTTGGATGACAGTTTTTACCACAAGCCAATTGGAGTTGTGATGAATTAGTCAGAGAGAACCTTGTTATTTTCCTGGGTACTTGTTTTTCTTTCAAACTTTTTAAACATATTTCTTATTTTCTGAAATGAAAAAAAAAAAGACCTAATATGAGTAGTATGTCTGAAGGGAACTGAAAAGGGAAACATTTAAAAAAGGATTCTATCTGTCCTTTATGTTTCATCCCCAACACCACTCAAGGAAAGCATTTCCTTTTATCTTATTGTTTCACCGGCTTCAGGGGCTTCTGTCTGCCTCACGAGTTCCCCTGGGAGGGCCACTTACCGGAGGGGCCTGAGCGTCCTCAGCAGCCGCAGCACTCGGAGCATGCCCAAGATTTTGGTTCCCGTGTTGGAGATGAGAGACACCAGGATGTCGACGACAGAAATCATCACCAACATCCCGTCCAGGAGGTTCCAGCTGCTCCTCAGGTAAGCTTTGTCCCCGAAGAAAAAGCCCATGGCCACAATCTGAAACAGCAGAGGGCGACGTAGAGCGCAATTATATTCTCATAAAGAAAAGCAGAGGTTGTTTGTCGGAAAATGTTGGTAACGTTTCTGTGCCTGCACAGGATGATTTAACCCGCTGCATTGTTTTGTTTTTATCTGTGTGGCAGTAGATTGGTTTTCTATCAAGCTTTTCATTTATTCATTACTGTCCAGCTCAATGCTTGTTGTTGACTGATTGTCTTCTTAGCTGCAAACATTAAAAAGCCTCAAAGCGTTCCAAACTTCATTTCTCAAACTATATTCTCCACATAGCTACCTGTCCAAAAAGCAATTTGTATACCCCGCACTTTCTCTCTCTCATATTAAAACAAGCCAACGTGACTATTTGTTGTTTTTTTTTTACTTCATGCATTCCAAAACATCTACTGCAATCAAACCTGAGCACATGATCATCATAGTTTGATTTAGATTTTATTTTAGTAAGTAGCATATGCAGCACCTAAAATGTGTTCACACTTATTTAATTTCCGAACATTTTTCCACCACAAGTGAAAGAAAGAAGAACGAGCAGTTCTCAAAAACCCTAACAAAGATAAATCAGGGAAATACAAATGCATGCCACACTTCATCTCCCCTAGTTGATACTTTGTAGAAGATCCTTTTACTGCAGTCCCAGCTTCAAGTCTTTTGTGATGTTTTCTTTATTTTCATCATTTTTATTTGTTAAAAACACTGAAAAATGTATTGCTTTCTTTCCACTTTACAGCTATGGTCAGGTAAGTTCTTTCACATAAAACACAATCACATTTGCAGCTGTAATGCGAGAAATTTTGGAAAGGCTCAAGGTAATTTGAAAACTCTTCTCAGGCAGTGTAATTATATGGATTTATACGTTACAAATGTCTTTGTAATTCTTCCAGTCATCAATTTATTTCAGATATTTAAAAAAAAAAGCAATCAAAATCAGGCAGCCTATTACAAAGTCACAAATATTCATTGAGGATCAAATGAAAAAAATATTTATGCAAAAATTAGATTTATTGTAATATCAATGGATATTCCTGGTGACAGATGGAAGAAATAAGAATGAACAAAGGTATCTATTATGG